TTAAATAATGCCAGTGACCTGGATTGCGGACAGACACACCTGTCATGAGATGAGCATTAAACTTAAAAAATAATTTCAGGCATTGCTTTAGATTTTCCTGAAGTCTCGTCAAAGGGTTTTATTGTCATCTCTTTGCTTCATCATTGGATGTGTATTTCTGAAAGTGACCTAGATCTGATCTTTACCCAGAAGCCCTTTCTTAATTTTGATCTTGTTTATCATTTAGAGACGCTTTGAATTTTCAATGTGTTGTAACTTCTTAATGTTTAACCATTACTTTATGTTCACATCTTTAGCTTGTCTCTCCACTCTTCTTTTCTACCAGAATAGTAAGAAGCTGGGTAGCATCTTCATCCCTCTGCCTGGAAATCTCCTTGGCCAGAGTCCTGAATTCTTTAGATACAATTTCTACATTCCATGCCATAGCAGGTAACATTGTTGCTAAACTTTCAGCCACCCTTAACAGGGATTCACTTTCCATTAATTCCCTCACTTTAAACCCTCACCAACAGCTTCCTCCAAGGCCTTCCTGGGAGTGGCTGTCTTAACCACTGGAGCACCAGAGAAGCCCCAGGATGGGCATTTTTAGATGCAGTTTCTTTTCTGTCATTATAATGGGTAGATGGTTTTATCCTCATTTTTCTTTTTTCCTTTCTAGTTTATGTATTTATTTTTGGTTGCTCTGGTTCTCCATTGCTGCGTGAGCAGACTTTTCTCTAGTTGCGGTGAGCAGGGGGTACTCTCTAGTGGCTGCGTGCGGGCTTCTCATTGCAGTGGCTTCTCTTGTTGCAGAGCATGGGCTCTAGCCTCATGGGCCTCAGTGGTTGCAGCTCATGGGCTCTAGAGCGCTGGCTCAGTAGTTGTGGCTCACAGACCTAGCTGCTTTGTGGCACATGGGATCTTCCTGGACCAGGGAGCAATCCCTGTGTTGCATTAGCAAGTGGATTCTTACCCACTGCACCATCAGGGAAGTCCTGTCCTCATGTTTTATACGAGGAAACGGATTCAGAGAGTTTGAGTCTATCCTGAGATTATACACTTGATGTTACCATCAAACCCAGACCTTTAGTACAATCCTGAAACCTGCCACTTCCTTTCTTTCTATAATTGTGTCTTTCTCATCTCCTGTGGGATGGTTGCAGCTTTAACGTTAAAAATTTTTGCTTATTATTTCCCAACGTGGAGGAAAAAGCAGCTGCTGTTTATTCTTATTCGAGAGTAAAGTGAGAAAGGATTTCTTTCCCAGCTACTTGAACAAAGCAAACCATCTCTCTACAAAATATCTGTGAAACAAAAGAACTGTTTTTAAAAGCAACTGGGAAGAACTATAATAAAATTTTTTTAAAAAGGATAGTTTGATTCATATAATGTGTTGTTCTTTGTGTATAAATATACCAGAAAAAACCCACTTCAGATATAAAATATGGAGAAAATGGGCCTTGAATAAAAACCCTGGGTCATTCTACTTCATGATTTTGCCTTTCTTCAGTTCTTTTCTTCCCATTACACTTGGTCTGGCTTCTGTTTTGGGCCTGTTTGTCACCTTATTCTAGACCATGGTTATTTATCAACAGATGTCTCTACTCCAGTAGGTTGTAAGCCCCTCTTGGGGACCACTGCTTTGTTTCTGAATTTCCCACAATGCCTCTAAAGTGCCTTGACCATAGTGCTGTCTGTGAATGCGTATTGAATTGGATGGATATCCATTTGCATTCTTAAAGTTTTTTTTTTTTACTACCTGAGATGTCAGAAACATAGGGCAACAATGGATGGACTGTTATCATTATAGTATTGAGCCATAAAGCAGTGTAATCTCGTTCTAGTTGATTGAGATATTGCTAGCATTCCAAAGTCATATTTGAAGGAGAATCAATACAAAAGGGGAAAAGGTAAGAACAAATACAACTTTTCATTTTCCCTCTAAACGTGAGGATTTGCATTCTTCAAAGGATTCATTTTTCAAAGGAAAACCAGGATTACTTTGAAAGAGTGACACGTCTTTTTAGCACGTAATAGCAGCAAAATCTCTTTTGTTGTTCAAACAGGAGTTTGTATCTTTTGGTGGGGGGGCAAAATCTTGACAGAATGTGGAGCCTTGGTGAAAATAAAAGACGTAAGCACACATAAGCTCCTTTGCATAGGATTTGAATATTTGATTCTAGAGGTTTTCTGTAAGTGTTTAAATTAATTTTTGGAGTTATTTAATTTCCCCATTATGGTCATATTCATTTGCAGGAGACTTTGATCAGCCATACAGAGCGTCTCTTCCATCTGCCTATTAGAAGGGGTTTTTGTGGAGGACTCACAATGACAGACCAAGTCCTCCGTCTGTCACAGCCCTTTGAAAGTGAAGATGCTAATAGAATTTGTGACATTCATTGCTGTAGCTCAGTGTAAGCCTGTTACTGAACACAAGAATTATTTATTCTTTAAAAAACTTCTGTTTTAATATAACAGCTCCATTGATATATAATTCATAGGCTAGATAGGAGTCACGCTTTTAAAGGATGCAGTTCAGTGGTTTTTAGTTTACTCACAGAATTGGGCAACCACAGCCACCACCAATTTTAGAACATTTTTATAGAAACCCTGTGCCTGTTATCAAACACTCCCCTTTTCCCCAAACTCCAGCCCCTGGCAACCATTAACCTACTTCCTGTCTCTATAGATTTGCCTACTCTGGACATTGCATATAATTGAATCATGCAACATGCAGCCTTTTGTGTCTGGCTTCTTCCATTTGTTGTAAGACAGCGGTCCCCAACCTTTTTGGCAGCAGGGACCGAATTCATGGAAGACAATTTTTCTATGAACTGGGGGGTGGTGGGGGGGGATGGTTTTGGGATAATTCAGGTGTGTTACATTTCATGGAAGACAATTTTTCTATGAACTGGGGGGTGGTGGGGGGGGATGGTTTCGGGATAATTCAGGTGTGTTACATTTATTGTGCAACTTTATTTCTATTATTTTGTTATTATTATGTGAGCTCCACTTCAGGTCATCAAGCATTAGATTCTGGAGATTGGGGACCCCTGCCTTGATATTTTCACGATTCATCCATATTGTAGCCTGTATCAGTGGCTCAGTCCATTTTATGGCTGAAAAATGCTGAGTGTGTTGGCCTTCCTTAGTTAATGCTCCTTTGTGTTGTTTCCACTTTTTGTCACTTGTGATTTATGCCAGCGCGCTCTCTCTCTCTCTCTTTCCTCCTCCCCTCTATCCTCCGTCTTTTTTCCCTTTGTTGTTTTTCCTGGAGGTCCTTGTGCTCTGCTTGTATCGATGTGTTTCTTCCAGAAAGCCTCAAACCAACATCCTCTGGGGTGGGACCTCCCTATGGCAGCGGTTGCTTTATGGGATGTCAGGACCCTGGGTGGGTTTGAGTTAAGCTCTTTGGTGTCCACAGAGATGCCATGGGTATTCTTTTCAATAACCTTGAGGATTGGGCTTCCCTGGTGGTTCAGCTCTCAAGATTCCACCTGCAGTGACGGAGATTCAGGAGACTTGGGTTCAATCCTTGGATCAGGAAGATCCCCTGGAAGAGGGCACAGCAACCCACTCCAGCATTCTCGCCTGGAGAATCCCGTGGACAGAGGAGCCTGGTGGGCTACAGTCCATGGGGTCACAAAGAGTCAACACAACCGAGCAACTGAACCACCACCAGCACCTGGGGGTGAGGGTTTCTGTGTGGCAGACACACAGGTGGCACAGGTACTGCTGAGCCATCTGCTCTTAGAAGTGCAGACCTCTTGGCCTTTTTTCTTCTTTTTCACCCGAATGGCTGCTTTTTCTTGAACGACTACCCTGTGGGCCCCTATATGACAAGGTAGCCTTTCCCCTGAGCCAAGCAGCGGTCCCAACTCCTTTCCAAGGCATGCATATAGGTCCTGGCAAAGATACGTGACCCAAGGTCATTCTCAGAAGGGCCCCAGTCCAATTCTGTAGTCCTATTTCTAAAAGCAGAAGTCAGGAAAACCACAGTTGTACAGACCCCACTTTCCCTGGGCACAGGCGTGACCCCAGCCTCCCGCTCCAGGGAGCTGCTGCTGGAGGAAGGGGCTCCATAGGCCAGCCTAGAGTCTTTTGGTTCTCTCTATATTTCCACACCTTGTTGTTCAGTCACGTGTCTGACTCTTTGTGACCCCATGGACTGCAGCACACCAAGTTTTCCTGTCCTTCTCCCTTTCCTGGCGTTTGTTTAAACTCATGTTCAAGATGCTTGCTTTATGTAGACTATTCACTGAAATTTTTACACCTTGAATTTTCTTTTTTTTTTAAATGGATGGTCCATTTCTTAAATTAATAGGCAACCTGATTGTGCTTTCAATAGATAATGAGGAGTTAATTGTAGTGTAAGAACACCAATGAAGGGTCTGAACACAGTAAATATGGCTGCAGTGAAAGTTAAGTGGCTTGACTAGGAATATTATACAGAACAACAGGCTGCTTGGCCCTTTTTCCCTTTAAGTGTCATTAAAGAGCATTTGTGTATTGATAATGCTCTGGTCCTACCTGGTGTTGAGAGACTTCTCCTAGGATTGGGATGATCCTTGCAGTGGCTAGATGTGGAGCTTGGCTCAAACACAGAAGTGCTTAAATCATGGATTTCTAATAATGTTTTATTATTTCAATATTATGTCAACATTCAGCTTTGCATATAACTGGGAACTAATTTTGAAGTTTGCATGCATTCTCAGTCACTAAGTTGTGTCCAACTCTTTTGTGACCCCATGGACTATAGCCCGCCAGGCTCCTCTGTCCATGGGATTCTCCAGGCAAGAATACTGGAGTAGGTTGCCATGTCCTTCTCCAGGGGATCTTCTGACCCAGAGATGGAAAACCCAGCATAGCCAAAAATAGATAACTAAATACATTTTTTAAAAAGAGTAAATTATGGTTTGTTTATGCTGGAGCTGGGTTAGTATTCACAATCTGTGCATTCTCTATCTTGCTGTCAACTGAGGTTTTTTTTTTTTTTTTTTTCTGGTTTGGGTTCATTTTAGCAGATTTAAAGAAAGCTTCCAGTTCAAATGCTGCAAAATCCAACCTACCCAAATCTGGACTTCGTCCTCCAGGCTACTCGCGTCTCCCTGCAGCCAAGCTGGCAGCCTTCGGCTTCGTCCGGAGCTCCAGCGTGTCCTCGGTGTCCAGCACCCAGTCGGCGGACAGCGCCCAGCCCGAGTCTGGCCGGCTGGCCAACCGTAAGTGGTGCGGATGGGCGGGTGGGCAATGCTGCTGTTCCCAGACAGGCCTGACCAGCAGAGAGCCAATCAGCACATGTGCATGGGATTGCAATTTCTGTGTGCATAAAGTAACAATTCGGGTTGACTACCTCACTCTACCATGGTTGGGACTTTAAAAATAATCTACTGTAGGGGAAAAAAAAAGCCCGTTTGGCCCTACCATTTTCTAGGTTATATGGGGAGTGAATGTGCCTGAAAAGGACTTCTAAATTACTATTAAATCTAGAAAGTGACTTATACCGGGGCTGATTCCAGGAGCCATTTGCCTCATGCATTCTAGGTAAGAAGCCACAGAAAAATCCAAAAATGTTATTACCATGTTGTGCTATCATAAAGCATATTAGATATGAAATAATAGTGGAAAGAATCATTTTAATCACCTGTGATTATCTGTTATGCCGTCCTGTTGGTGGAGCACTCAGTCTCTAAAAATCAACTCAAGGATGCTAGAAACAGGGAAGCCCAGCCGAGCTTCTTCCAAGTCCGTGCCAAGGAAGGTCCTTGTGAGCTGAGATGGTGTCAGTCCAGACCTGCTTCCTGACACTGGTACTGTAAGCTGAATTTGAAAGTATGAAGTCATAGCCTCCAAGCAGGTGCCAGCAGCAGCCCCTGTCCCTAAAAGGAGACTCGGAGGCTGCCCTGTTCACCTGAGCCGTCAAGGCTCAAGCAACTTCGTAGCCTTATCGACGGGATCTGAAGCTGTGCCACCTCAGATGTCAAGTACTAATGATTTGCATACTACTTAGCAGCTTTCCTGTGGAGAGCTGTGTGAAGGATCATATGAGTTGAATCAAGTTGGAATAAGAGATAGTGAGGGGGAGGGAGAGAGAGGAGGAAGAGAGATTAAGAATGAGATTGATTTTGTATTATTTGTTCAGTTTCCTTTCTCTAAGCTTGTTTTATTCCCTGTTCTTTCTTGGGTGGAGCATTTGTACACTTGTTCTAAATTTTGGCCTGCCTGGTTATTCCTAAAAGTAATGGGTTATATTTTCCTTCCTCTTAATGTGTTTGTAAGCATTTCTGAGAGGTTCTTTGCTCACTTGGCTCCCTGAAGGTGACCTGCTCTCACCTGAGAATCATTTTAGGAATCCCACTGGGATCAGGGGTTGCATCACGGTATGGTACACGTCTCAAAATCTTAACACAAATATACTAGAGAACTGTTTGTAAATGTGTGACTCTAATTTCTAGGTGTGCGTGTGTGTGTATTAACAGCCTGAAGGTTTTGAAATAGAGGAGCAATGATCTGTCATTGTTTTTAATAGAGATTCCCAGGGACATATTTCTCTCTTAGATGGAGCATGAATGATTAAAAAAAAAAATATCATATGGTATGTGTCTTTCCAAGGAAGGAGTTAAGATTTTTACTTCTTTTTTTTTTTTTTTTAAGATTTTGACTTCTTAAAAAAAAAAATTAACCTCAAGGTGAATTGAGCCCTGTCCCCACAGCAGGCACTTTTTCAAAAGGAGAGGTGACAGGTGTGAATGGAATAATTCCAGGTGTGCTTAGGGCATTTCTTCTCACCTGTGCATCAAAGGATGCTTGTCTGGGACTCCCTGAACGCCCAAGGAGACAAGAGCTGTTATGTGCCAGAGAAAATAACTCTTAGCTTACAAACTTTCTCGTAAAAGCAGTATTTACTCTCTTCAGGACTGTTTTCTGTTTCTAAAAAACAGTATGTTAGAACTGATTTTTAAATTATTTACTGCCTAACTGTATATAAATTTGTCCTTCAGTAAATCACAGAAAAACTTCACACTTATTAATGTCTTAATACTGTTAGCTATTAATATTATGCTTCTGCTTGTTACTAGATTTAGTGTCAGGAAAACTTTTGTTCCTGATGCTTTGATGGCAAGGATTAAATAAAATACAAAACTCTTGGAAGAGCTGAAAATCCTTAGATTAACTCCTAGGAGCAAATGTTGCCAGTTTAGCTCATGAAAACAGCTAATATGATATTAGAGTTGGTTCCTTTTTGTTTCTTGTGTACCTTTCTTTAGGCATTATATTCACCTAGGGTTCATTTTAGGAATATGGCTGTAATAAGGGATTACACTGGAGAAGGAAATGGCAACCCACTCCAGTATTCTTGCCTAGAGAATCCTGTGGACAGAGGAGCCTGGTGGGCTGCTGTCCATAGGGTCGTATAGAGTTGGACACGAATGAATCGACTTAGCGTGCATGCATGCATTGGAGAAGGAAATAGCAACCCACTCTAGTATTCTTGCCTGGAGAATCCCAGGGACAGAGGAGCCTGGTGGGCTGCCGTCTATGGGGTCGCACAGAGTCGTACATGACTAAAGTGACTTAGCAGCAGCAGCAAGGGACTACACAACAGGCAGGAGATCCCTCAAAATCTGAAACATGATTATAATGGGAAACTATTTGCAAATGTGCAATTCATGATTTTAGACACTCACGTGCTGTAAGTAGTGAGACACTGGCCATGTCACTGTGAATTCTATATGGGGGACACTTCAGTGTTTTATTATCAATCTCCTAGTGTCTCCTGGGCTACCTTGGCTTATCTGCAGCTCTTCTCTGTGGTTTTTCTGTGTCTTGATGAGCAGGTGATGATGACTGTAAAGGGTGGCCTGGGAGCCCTGACTGCGGTCTCACGTGGAGTCTGCCCTCTACCTGAGGCTCAGACTCAGCACCATTCATTCAGCCCGCCAGGGCAGAGGCTTCCCAAGGCAGGTGCCCTGATGTATGTGTCTTCTGATCTTCTTTACAGAGTTTTGGTAGGCGGAGCCGACACAGGGAAAGAAATCATCTGTTGGTCCTTAGAGCCTGAGGGTATTTTGCCATCCTGTCCACCCCTGCATTTTATAGCTGAGCAAACTGAGAATGACCTGGTCCCATCCTGGGACCATGTTCTTCTTCCTCCGTTTAGTTCTTAAAGCTGCCATACGTGGTAAAGACACACCCATGATGTGGACTCTTTTCTATCTATTAGGGAAGCAAATCTTAGAGTCCAGTTGGCATGAGAGGGCCCTTAGACCCAGCCCGCCTCTCCCTGCCCCGCCCCTCCCCAGATGTGTGTTCCCGGTGATGGCCGGGTGTGTGGGGGCCGCTGGATGGTGAGGCAGTGCTCCTTGTAGGTTCAGGCTGGCTCCCTGAAACCCCCTGCTAGTATCCTGGTCTCTGGATTAACACACAACCTTTATCCTCAGTGTGCTACAGGAGACCCACCCCGCCCCCCACCACTCCTCTACAGGTTCATCACGGGAAGATTATGAGGTTGGCCAGTTTCGAATCGCAGATAAAACTTCAAATTCCACTAGGTCGTGACCCAGCGTTTTTTTGTTTTTTTTTTTTGAAGATTGAAAGTGAATAGGAAGAAAATAATCTTCTAACTTAAAACTTAAGTGTCACCTTAAAATCATAGTATTTCAGCAGGTCTGACCCAGTATGTAGCTTATCATTTTTTTAATAGTTATCAAAGAAAGGAAAAAGACTCTTCAGTATGCTTTAGGCAGTAGAAACTTCGGGGAAAACAATGGCTATGGAATTTAGTGTTAGTAACAAAGTATAGCCCAGAGTAAACAGGGTTGTCAAATTTATCAGCAGTTAGGATTGTAGACTTGATTTTCTCAGTGGATAAGGAGGTGTTTTTTAAAAGAGAATAGCACTTCTCTTAAATAGCTGTGTATTAAGAGGTTGGGGTCACACCTGTGTCCAGTGAAAGTGGGGTCTGTACAACTGTGGTTTCCTGACTTCTGCTTTTAGGAATAGGACTATGGGATTGGATTGGGGCCCTTGTGAGAGCTGAAGTGAAGTGAAGTGAAGTAGCTCAGTCGTGTCTGACTCTTTGTGACCCCGTGGACTGTAGCCTACCAGGCTCCTCCCTCCAGGGGATTCTCCAGGCAAGAACTCTGGATTGGGTTGCCATTTCCTTCTCCATTCTGAGAAGGAATGTGTTATCTATTTAACCATGTGTTAAATAGATAGCTAGTGGGAAGCTGTTACATAGCGTAGGGAGCTCAGCTCGGCCCTCTGTGATGACCTAGAGGGGTGGGATGGGAGTAGGTGGGAGGGAGGCTCACGAGGGAGGAGGTAAATGTACATTTATAGCTAATTCATGTTGTTGTACAACAGACACCAACACGACATTATAAAGCACTTATCTTCCAATTAAAAAAAAAAAAACCAGTTTAAAAAAAGTTAAAACCTTTGGATGTGTGTGGGGTGGGGGGGGGAAATGGGAAAATTTACGGTTTCATGAATTAATCATTAATGAAAATAGATCATATCACCCAAGGATAGGATAATTTATGTGGAGGTTCATCTCTCATTGTGGATTCTGAATAGCGCCTAACCTATTGGTGCTCAGGGAATAGAAACTATCAGAAAATAACATGAAGAAGGTGACATTTGCAGCTGTCTTTTTCAATTTCTTCTCCTCTTGTTCTCTTCTGTGATAGCTCATGTTTTCTCTCTGCAGTGAGCTGAGGCCAGAAATCCTGAAACAAAGAATTTGAAAAGAGAAAGCAGAAATCTGAAGGGTTTTCTCTTGTTTCTGTTTCTGGCTCAGGGAAGTAGTAGAATGTTTGGGAAAGTAGGGGTAGAGCTGGATGTGAACAGAGAAACTGAAATGGGGATAAATAATCATGACCAGTGAATGTTTGTGCTCACAGCCTTAAAAGTGAGTTGGGGTGGAGGGTTCATTTCTTTTTTTCTTTTTTGATGTGTATCTTTCAAGTTTATTCTCATATGCATATACACATTTTTTCTTTCACAACTTTGGAGTCATATGTACTCTTTGAAATCTTTTTTTCCCCAGTTTAATCCATTGAAAACATTTGTCTCAGCCATTAGGTTTTCTTATATAACATGCTTTTTAAAAAATTGGATGATAATCACTTTACAATATTGTATTAGTTTCTGCTGTTCAGTTCAGTTCAGTTGCTCAGTCATGTTTCTTTGCAATCCCATGGACTGCAGCACACCAGGC